CATTGTACAGGTTGGGCCAAAATTATGAGGACCGCGTGCGCGCCCGCTGATTTCCATTTCATCTCCTTTCTGTGCACTATGTGAGAGGGTACAATGTCTTCTTCCTAATGAAACCAAATTTCATGCAGTTCTCAAAACTAGTGAAATAACAACATTCCTTACGTCAGTCCTCAAATTGAACTCACTAAGGGCTCTGGCACGTTACATCTAGCGGCAGCCAAAATAAAGATGCAGAAATTAGGTCTCCCCTTTGTCGGGCTTGAACATCGGCTGGCCCACTCAATCTACAGATGTGGAGTTTTTAGAGTGTCTGGCTAGGTTTTCGTATCAATTTTTTCATTTTCGTAGTCCAAAAATGAAAAAATTGATGCGAAAACCTAGCCAGACACTCTAAACACTCCACATCTGTAGACTGAGCAGTCAAGGACAAAGCAAAATTTTCTAAAAAGCGATTTTTCGAATGCGTTGCTTTCGAAGAATTGTTACAATGGAACCATCCACCTAATAGCTCTAGATTTCTGTATTTCACACCCTGGATGCAAGCGCAAATAAATGCCACAAAACTTTGATTCCCTGAAGAAAGCAGAAGGCCTGGAAACATTTTGACACGCCTCAGTTGCGTGCCACCCCCTTCATCTGAAGGCTCGTGTAAACGGGGCAGGTGGCAGATCTCAATTCTATTCTGGAATTACTTTGAGATAAGAGTTACAAACACTTCCCTGAAGTTTGTTTGTTCCATCAAGCTACTATGCGTTTTTAACGACACAATGTCTTGGTCCTCATAATTTTGGACCACCCTGTATAGGCCACATCGCATTCAAACGCCACTGCGAATGTACAAATGGAAGTAGAATGCGTGCCGCATCCCAAAAAGGGATTGATCAACGGCAAATGCTTTATCCTTTTTATGCCAATGGAAAGGGAGCAGGACATACGCTAATCGAAGTGAACCTTTGAAAATTCACGCCAAAAACGCGATTTCGCTTTTTGTCTTGTTGTTATAACTCTGGTTTAAAATCGAGTTTCTCAAAACCAGGTGATCAGTTGAACTCACTCGTCGGGATCCATAGCAATACGCTCTAAGGATTTGAAAAAAAGCTTACCTAAGGAGTACTGGAATTTGTTGTTTTGTGTAAATATCGTTGTGAGCTGGAATAGCGGTGGAGTCATCCACAAAGTTTGTAAGCAAGAAGAAAGTGCCTCCAGTGCTATATTGAACGCTACAGACGGAACACGCAAGAAACACAGACTTCTTTTGTGAAACCATCGCAAAACTATTGCGGAAGAAATCGCTGTTAATCGCAATTCCATGATATTTAGTTCGATACGATTGAACGTGCAATGGCTAGAGGGATAAGGGGATTTCTTTCGAACCGAGAATTCGTCGATGTAGGGTGCAAAACTATTATGGTGGGACACTGTCATTTTACGCCAAACGAAGTAAAGGGCACATCTTCACGCCAAACACGTCGAG